GGAGGGTTGGGGCCTGGGGCTGGGCTCTGCTGGGTCTGGGAACTGGGAGCCCTGCTTGGTGCTCACAGAGCCTCCAGTCTTGGTGTCAACACCAGGCCTGAGCATCAGGGTGGGGCCTGAGGAAGAGGCCACTTGGACAGATGGTCAGGGTCAGGATGGGTGGCACCACCAGAGGGGGATGCCCCTCAGCCCCACCTTCCAGGGGCTAGAGCCTGCAGGTCCGGGGCCCAGAATTACATTATTCACGTGAGAAGACACCCACCTGGGAACATCTATGTCTGGGAGGGCTGGGGCGGGCAAGGTTCCTGTTCCACAGACATGGGTGCACCTGTGTGAGGGACCCACAACACACAGTCTCCGGTGAGCTGGTTTGCCATCTGTGTGGGGGCATCAGCTAGCTGGTGCTGGCCCTGGACAGGAGCCATGGCTGGCCTCCCTGGAGCAGGGCAGTCTGTGTTTAGGTACAGGGATGGGGGGAGCGGGACAAAGAGAGCTGTAAGGGGCCAGAGCAAACTTTTCCCCACTCCCCAGCCACAGCTCCCACCCCACCGCCCCCCTGCCTAGCCAGAGAACTCAAGCTCAAGCAGAGGAAATAAAGAGAGAAATGAGCATTTGACTGGCCATGACTCGGAGCATGTTGGGGGCTGAGAACAGGGTCATGGTGCCATCAACAATGGCAATACTTGTGGGAAGCCCTGGCATGAGTGAGGAGGTGCCCTCCCCCCGCCCCAGATGCCTCTGGCAGCTGCCCCGGGCCACTCCAGGGCTGAAGAATCAGTACCTTTGTCCTGGAGCCCACTTGGAGCTTACCAGTAGGCGTAGCCCCCACACAGGTCTTACGAGGAGTGAGGGAGGCCTCTTGGAGGGGGCTGGATTGAAGCTGGAGGCTGAGATAAGCACAGCACAGTGGGGACTAGTAGCAGCAGCGAGGGCTTGGCCTGGTCCTGACTGGAGTTTGAGGATGTTGGGGTATAGGATGGGGATCGGGGCTGGCTGGCTGGAGGAGAGGGCACCACATGTTGCAAGGGAGGGGAAGTACAGTGGGTGGAAGCCAGAGCTTGTCTGGGAGTGTGGATGGCCAGCCTGCCAGCAGTCACAGTCAGGGAGGACACCTAACCTGCCAACATGTCCGCCCAGGGATGTGTGTGCTGCAGGCGTTTCCCTAAGGGCTCCTGGGCTCGGGGTTCAGACTTTACCTGCTGCCACCGAGGTGCCACCGAAGGTGCTCTCGTGCATTCTAGCCTGGGCACCAGCGGCATCAGTCTAGGTGGAGGATGCAGAGGAGGGAAGGAGTGAGGGGTGGCCACGGCACCGGCCCAGGTGAGAAAGGTGAGGGGGAAAGGGCTGGGGTGGGGAGGACAAAGGAGGAGAGGGACACGAGCAAAGTCACAAGGAGGGCTGAGCTGGAGGACCTGGTGACGGATTAGACATGAAGCGTGAAGGAGAAGGTTAGAGCCAAGAGAGACTCGAAGGTTTCCCGCCCCAGGCTGGGGGAAAGGGGGAGGGGGCCTGGGAGGACGGACTGCAGGAGAAGGCTGGCCTGGAAAGAGCAGGTCTGGGCATGTGCATGAAACAATGTGTGTGTGTGTGTGTGCATGGGGGGTGTGTGTGTGTGCATGTGTGTACATGCATGCATGTGTGTGTGTGTGCGTGTGTGTGTGTACAGTTGTTCTCAGGAGGCAGCCAAGCCCAGCACTAGGGCCCTCCCCTGGAGAAGTTCGTCATTCCTGGCTCAGGGCAGTTTCTGCCTCTGAGACTTCATGGCTTCAGTCTTCAGGTCTGGGGCCCAGAGCAGCACAAGGCAAGAGAAAGGGTTGTAAGGACAGGGGAGTCCTGGCCCCTATGCGTGCTTGCTAAGTCACTTCAGTCATGTCCAACTCTTTGTGATCCCATGGACTGTAGCCCACCAGGCTCCTCTGTCCATGGGGATTCTCCAGGCAAGAATACTGGAGTGGGTTGCCATGCCCTTCTCCAGGGGATCTCCCCACCCAGGAATCAAAACCTGTGTCTCTTGTATCTCCTGCACTGGCAGGTGAGTTCTTTACCATTAGCGCCACCTGGGAAGTCCCCTGGCCCCTGGTTGAGGCCAAAGTTGGCTGCTCCTAGGAACCAGGTCCATCAGTGCCTCTAGGTAGGGGGTCTGGTACCTGCATCAGTGCCAGTCCCCAGGCTCCTAAAGGAAGTTCCTCCCAGCACAGGGCAAGAGAAGCAGGAGGGCCAGAGGACCAGCCCTCTCCTGTGGGTGCCTGGGGGGCCACCAAAGAGCAGACGCCCCTCCCAAGGCACGGTGACTGAGAGCAGGGTATTTCTTAGCCGTGAAGAATGAAGACCCCCTCCCAGCAACCAACAACCCCAGCTGATGGGGGGTGGCAAGTGGGTCCAGATCAACCCTGTAGGTGGGAGAGGGGCTGAGAAAGCGACCACGGCTCAGGGATACCCCCCAGCCCCCCCTTTCAGGAGGTCCAGTTCCCCATGAGCCCCTCCACTCAGGAGTGCAGAGATCTGAGACCAGGAGGCCGGCAGGTGTGTGCAGCCCCCAGGGGCGGGGAGGCAGGTGCCAGCTGCGTGTGCAGGTATGAATGAGAAAAGCCTGTGAGACAGGTGGTCTCTGCATGTGGGGGCACAGAGAGGGCCCCCTGGGTGAGTGTGCCAAGGGACAGGCTTTGGACAGAGGGTGGGCACCTGGCCTGGGGAGCAGGAGGCTCCGGTCCTGCTGGCCCCTTGCGCCCCCTGCAGCCTGGCTGGCTGTCCCTCCCTCAGACCCATTTTTCACTGGCTGCTGTTGCCAAGGAGCTGAATGGGCAATGCGGGAGGAGCCAGGGTCAGCGCAGGGCCAGCCTGCTGGGCACATGTGCCCGGAACCTGCGGGGGCCAGCAGCAAAGGGGCCCCAGATGACAAGAAGGACCCCATGCCCTTCAGCAGCCCCTTGCGCAGGCCTGAGGGCTGATGCCGGAGGCAGGCTCTAATCCAGGGCAGCCCTGCGGCACTGGTGCCCACCCGCCAGCGCCCTGGGCAACCTTGCACGAGGCCCCAACAGGTGCCCCACGGCCCTGGGATGCGGTTCCTGGACTCTGTGTCCTCCTGAGGGATCCACCAGGCACCACCCGGAGCTGCAGCACCCGGACTCACCAGTACCCATCACCCTCTCGTCTACACATGCTCACCTGTGCCACTGCTCACAACCGTCACACACGTGCAGTGGGCCTGCCGCCACGCACGCTCATCTGGCCACACGCATACCCGGGCTGCACACATCGCCAGCCCCCATCATCGCCAGGGCACACATGCCAACCCAGAGCCCTCACATGTGCTCACGTGGGCGACATGCAGATATGACCACACAACCTTCCCGCATGCATCTGACTCAGTAAACAAGCCCTGGGCCCCTACCGAGTATCTAGCAACACCTCCCTTGTGCGCAGAGCATGAACACCCCCCAGCTCACCATGGTCAGTGGTTCAACCCGTGCCCCCTGAGCGATGCACACATACTCCTAACACGCACGTGTGTGCAACAGGAACACACAGCCAGTGGCAGTGCAACCTCCCAGATAAGGAGGGGAGGTCAGGGGGCAGAGGGGTTTGTTAAAGTGAGGATTTGGTGGGCGGATGCTGGGGTGATGGAAGATGGATGGGGTGAGGGAGGGGGGCAGGGTGGGGAGGGCGGCTAGCCAGTGTATGCAGGATGCACTACGCAGAGACCCCTGAAGGAAACGGACATCAGCCTCAATCATCAGGCTGGTTTCTGAGCTTTCACTCATTCCTCTCCAGCCTGGCTTCCTTTCTCAGGAACCCCAGTGCTCCCTTCTGACACCCCTGGGATTAACAATGGCCTGGCCAGGCTCAGCAGCAGCCCCCAGGGTCTCAGGGCTGCAAGAATCAAGAATTGCTAGGGCAAGCTCCATGCCCCCCTGATCATACAAATGACCCCCTCCCGTCCACATAGGTGCTCAGCTCTGCTGAGTGCAGGGGGGCGGGCAGCCATCAGGAGGCCCCAACAACTCAGCCTAGGTGGAAGGAAGCTCTGGGAGAGCAGACAAAGGATGCAGGGGAACTCCTCCCACCCCCAGGAGTGGACTGAGGGCTGAGTTATGGGGCAGGTGAGGGTGGGCAAAGGGACACGAGGGGAGGGAGAAGGGTTGTGGAGAGAAACGGAGTGGGGAGAGCGGTAGAGCTTCCACTCACACAACTCTGGTCCCTATGCACCAGGAAGACCAGGAGCCACAGCCAGGGGCCCCGGACCCTGGTGCTTAGACTGTGCGGGACTGCAAGGGCTCGGGGGCTGGTGTATGCGCCTCCACGCCTGAGTGTGCGCGTGTGCGAGAGTGTGTGGCGGGGACAGAGGAGGACACTGTGTTCCGGACGTGGGCAGCGGCCAGGTGCCAAGCTGGGAATTGTGAGTAGCTGTTTGGGGCAGATGCTGCCGGGAAACCGTATCTTAAACCCCGTCCTCAATTTCCTGGGTACTTGGGATGTGGTCAAAACCCTCTCACCTGCTAACCGGCCAAGTCAAATTCCCTGGGGCGTTGATCTAAACCCCCAACCCTGCGCTGGGGCCGGGCAACCAGCAAACTTCCCCCGCCTGGAGGCGTGGGGCGTCTACACGCGCCAGCCCCACGCTCCTGGACTTGGCAGAACCCAGGCTTCCGGGGGAGCGCGCGGGGAAGCTGCGCAGCGGCGACAGGCGGCCCCCGCGTCCCGCCTCGCAAAGTTTGGCCTCGGGGGGCTCCCAATCCGGTCCGGCAGCGCGGGTCAGGGACCCCTAGAGCCGCGAGCATTAGCGAGCACGGTTCCCCGCAAAGCTCCCCACAGCGCGCGCGTGACTCACCCGAACCGCGGAGCCAGGCGGCGAGGACTATGCCCAGGAGCGCTGGCCACAGGCCGGACCGGACGGCCATGGCCGCGGGCAGGCGGGCGGCCCGGGCGCGGGGCCCGGCGGACAGGAGGGCGCCTTTCAGCGCCTCAGCCCAGAGCCCCGGCCCCGGTCACCCCCAGGGCCCATGCCAGCGGACTGCGCTGCCTCCGGGCGGCCGGCTGCCGGGCGCAAGCGGCGCGTGCCTCCCCTGGGCACCGGGAGCGCAGCAATGCAGCCGGGGCGGAGCGCAGCGCCAGCCGCGCCGCGCACAGAGCCAGCCGCCGCGCGGAGCCCGCAGCCGGGGAGCGGGCCGGCGGGCGCCGCAAAACCCGGACTGGAGCGACGGAGCTGGGCGGCGTCAGGGCGGGGCGGGGGAAGGAAGGAGGGGCCCAGCAGCCCCGCGCCGCGCGAACGGGCCACCCCCAGCTTTGGGGATCCCTCTCGGCGTTGCCCGAGGCTCCCCCAGGGAGGGGCTGGGGTGGTGGGCGGGAGGCCTCCCACCTCCCTGCGCGATCTCCAGGGACCGGCCAAAAGTCTGAAACCCGGAGTGGATCGATTCTCCGGATCCGGGTTCTCCCGGGCCCGCCAGCCAGCGCACAGGTGGCCCGGGAGGGGCCCAGGGCTGCAGCGATCCCGGCGCGGCGCCAGGCTGCAGACAGCGGCCAGGGACAGCGGTGTCCGGCGGCGGTTCCGCGCAGCCCTCTACCCTCACCCCACCCTACTCCGCACCTCCCGGCCGCGCTCCGAGGCGTTCATCGTGTTGCTGTACGCCACCCAGCCCGCGGCTCGGATAGGGGACTGCGGGAAGCTCTCGGGCCCTGGCCCGCGAGCAGAGGTACGCGGGTAGGACAGACTAGGGGCCACCCGCAGTCCCAGCCACGGTACCAGGTGGGCCTCAGAGTTATCCTCGGTTTCTCTAACCCCACGGCACCGTTTACCTAAAGAAAACAACCCTAGGACGCAGCGCAATCAAGACGCGCAGTGTTTGCGCCCGGAGCGCGCACCTCGCCGGAGACGTGGGCGTGAAGGAACCAACTGGGTTTTGGGAGCTAGAGAGATCTGGGGTAGAGTCTAGGGGCCTCCGTCTTCTAGCTCTGTGACCTTGGGCAAGTCACGGTGTCTCCGGGAGCCTCCAGCAACGACCGCTGCTGGAGCCTCCTGTTCCCCACCCCCATTCCCTAATCGGGTTTAAATAAACAGAGGGTTGCCTTGAAGGAGAAAGGAAATGACAGATGCGCGCCATGTGCACAAGGAGAGTGGTTAAGAAAAGAAATCCTACTCTGTGTCGGGAGGAGAAAGAGGAGGGTAAGGGGCAGGGTCGCAAGCTAAAATGCCTATAGTGGATGGGCATTCTAAAAGACCAGTCGATGATATATAATCAATTGATGCTGCACGCTGGGCGACAGAAGAATGGTCTTCGCTTCCACAAAGAGATATGAGCTCTCCTATATTTCTTGAAACACGAGGCCCTCTCTCGGTCTGTCTTTTGTTTCCCACTTTTGAGAGAGAAGGGTTGTGAGAAATGTTTTGCTTTCCTCTTAACTCTGCTGTGAAAAACACCAGACAGTGTCCAGTTAGGTATCTATAGGTGCTGGGCTTCAGGGCCAAGGAGGCCAGGGCAGCGCTGGGGACTGGGCACAGGGTCCCATCTCCAGGCGCAGCTGGTTCTTTTCCAGGTGCCAGGCTGACAGGGTGGGGCCCAATGGGGCCACATCTGCCAAAGTTTCAGTAGAAGCCATTGTATATGAAGTTTTTTTTTTTATTTAAAATTTTTAACTAAAAACAACAAAAAAAATTACTTTCATTTGAGCCCAGATGAAAATGTCCACAAATGTCCACCAGCTCTGGGTTTTGAACTCTGCTTTGGAGTTTGCTTGTGCATAGACTGTGTCAGGGGGCCCTGATCTACCCAACAGGACTGTGTGTGTGAGTTGTGGGGAGCAGTGTGCCCAGGCTGCTCCCTCTGACACTATACCTCATCCCACTTTCAGGAAAGAAATGGGTGAGAGAGGTGAAACAATAGCAGAATCTTCTTTTTCAGCCTCCATTATGGGAAGATGATTACGGACTAGGATTTGGGTACTGGAGGGAAGTAGTTGAGGATGAAAGACTGGGATTGGGGCTAGGGTATAAGATGATGTCCTAATGGCGTGGGCTAGACTCTGCTATTTCTATTACATTTGGTTTGATCCGCACAAGAAATCCTATGAAATAAACATTATTATCCCTATTTTATAGATGAGGTCATTGAGGCTTGTAGGAGGAAAGAACCCTATGTCCAGGGCCAATCTTATTCAGTGATTGAGAGGTTAGCTGAGATGACTCTGTGCAAGGTTTGATTTCAATGTCCATGCTCCTTAAATTTCATCCTGCAGTTTTTGCTCTGGGATGAGAACTTGGCAATGAGGTCTGGGGTACAGGAAAAGAAAGGGTCTCTTTCTCTATTCCATTTAGTTGCTCTGGTCATTTCTCTGGCCCCCTCTCTTCAGCTGGAATAGGATGGTGTGTGTAGCAGTCATGATAGACTAGGTTGTGTTGTAGTAACAGCGCCCAAGTCTCTGTGGCTTAAGTCAACAAAGATTTATTTCTCATGGGTCCACAGCTCCAGACCTTCTTCACTCAAGGACTCGGGCTGAGAAAGCAGCCACTCTCCCATGAGGGAGAGGAAACAGGAGCTCCGGAGGTACACTGTCCCCCCAGTCAATGGCTCAGCCTAGAAAGGACGTCACTTCCACTCACAATTCAATGGCCAGAACTATGGCCCCACTCAAGAGGATGGGAAAGTGCATACCTACCACATGCCTGGAAGGCAGTTACTGAAACACACGCACAGCAGCAGTGGCGATGGCCGCAGCCTCCAGGCCCAGCACGACCCTCCCCTTGCCTACTCTGCAACTCTGTGTGGGCTCTGGCCATGGTGGCCTCCCTTCTGTTTCTCCAGCATCCAGGCTCATAGCACCTCCATCCATTCCTGTTTGCTTTCCTGTCCCCAGATCTTCACAGGCATGGTTCCTTTTAGTCACTCGGGTTAGCTGTCCTCTTCCAAGTGGTACTCAGGGCCATGTCAGGTAAAGGAGTAGGAATTCCCTTGTGTAGATGGGCGAGTAGACGTCTCACCTGAATTCTGTGTAAGAACCCAGGTTGGAGGGCTGCCAGGAAGGCTCACCTCAGACCCAAAGTTTGATGGCCAGATAAGAGGGCACCTGTCACCTCCAACTTCATTTACTCTTGAGCATCAGTCTCCAAGGGAAGGAGGAGCTAGATCCTCCCTGGGGGGACCCTCCTGCAAGTGTCTGTAGCCCCTTGCAATACCCCACTGACAGGGCAACTGCTCTGATGGACAGATATGTCTCTTCTCAAGGGAGCAGGAATCTGCCCCTCATTGGGTTCATCTTCTAGGGCCACGTCAAGCATGTCTGGCACGTCTTTTCTTCAGAAGGCTTACTTCTTCAACTTTGGAACACCAAGTCTGGATCTACCCTGGATTCTCTCTCTCCAGTTCTGCTGTTGCAGGCACCCTTAACACATTGCCCCTCCCACCCCCCCCCCCCCCGCCCTCTCGCCCCTTGCAGGAGTTCTCCAGTGGGAGCATTTCTCTGAAGCCATCTCCTGAAGTGAGCTGGCATATCTCCTGGCCACATGGCCTTGTGCATGCATGAGTAGGGTCCCAGTCAGCTTTGATCAGGGACATCGTACAGTTAATGCCCACTAGACTGAAGAACTTCAGAGTTCATGGCAAGGCCATTGCTGACTTGAAGATGTGCCAGAAGCTCCTGTGATGGGGATTAAAATTCAAATCTCCAGGCCCTGCTCCTTCCCCATTCTGATTCATGGGAGGTGTCTAGGAATCCATGCTTTTACCAAGCTCCCACCATCCCCTACTGGCTATTTTTCTTTTTTTCTTACTGGTACCAGTGGTCTGAAAACCTCTCTTTGAGGAATACTGCCCTAGGTCTTTGCCATGGGTGCTGCCAGCAACAGGGTGTTACCCATCTACCCTGGGTTGCTGGTTTTCTGAATTTAAATTCAGAAACTTCAATTCATCCCAGTCCTATTCCACTGTATTACATCTAATCCCTCTCTCCCGCATGGAGCCTTCTCAGGATATGGAGGATGTCGGGCAGGGGGCTTGCTATTTTCTTCAGCTTCCTGTCATTCCCAGATGAGTCTGGGAAGTTGTATATGCCGTCAATCAAGTTGTTACTAAACAGGTGGCTCAGAGCAGGACCAAGGACAGCTCAGTGGCTCTCTATATGCTATCTACAAGTTGCAGTGGGACAATAAGTCAGCTCTTTCATCCACTTGGGAAATTTCTGATCACTCCATCCTTTAGCTCACATATAACTGCCACATCCACAGAATAAATGGAAATACCCTGCATAGTCAAAGACTCACCAGCCCCCTGCTTTGCTCTGATCTACCAGGCCAATAATCCAATCAAACAGGAAATTAGTTTGGCAGGAAGGACTTGTTCTTGGTGGCCCCAGATTGGCTCTTGATGGCCCCTGCCATGATTCCAGCATTCATATCTGCCCACTGCTCAGCATGTAGTTTCTCTCTTCGGGAAGCAGTATCTTCCCCTCTTTCCTTTGAGGGAGCACGCCTCCCCACCGTCAGTGCATGAGATTCACGTGGGGCTACCCCACCCCAGTTCCAGAGGATGGCACATGTTTCAGGACACACAGCATCCACTCTTCCCTAAGCTGTGTGATTCATTCAAGGATGAACATGTGACCCAAGTCAAACCACTAAGGCTCGTTTCTAGGACTTTTGTTGGGACTAAGGAGAGAAAGAATTTCTTCTCTTGCTGTACTTGAAGAAGGAAAGAGGTGATCTTAGAGCTTCATCCTGTGAGGAGCACATGCCGGAGACTAAAGCTTGGGCAAAGAAGAGCAGAGCCTGGAGAAGAGAGAAAGGCCGAATCCTGGTTCTTCATTCAAATCCCCTGGATCCAGCTGCTCCTGAAGCTACCAGATACACACTTGTTTTTCAGGGTTTTTTTTTTTTTGTTGTTGTTGCTAAAGCCCACTTGGGTTTCTATCATGTTTTATTTGAAAGAATGACACAGAATCATCCTTTATAAAAATCTGTTCTAGAGCCTCGCCTAGGATAGGGCAAGTATTTATTAGTGCCTAGTGTTTGCAAGGCTCAGTGTTACCCACTGGGGAAAACTGCAGCCTATGGGAGAAGACATAGCAGTCAGGCTGTAGTGAGAGCTCGGCTATCAGGCAGATGAATGTGTAGGGGTTAAGAGGGTAGAGAGAACTAGAAACAAACCTCTTCACAGGACCCCCAGCAGTAACTGGACCAGTCCCTTCTGCACATAGAATCCCAACATCCACCCATTCCCTGAACCCAACACACACACACACACACACACACACACACACACACACACACAGCATACCCTCTTAGAGGGTTTCAGTTTATATCTGCTCAAGTAAACCAGTTCATCCCTGCACCTTCCTGCTCACTGGTACAGAGCACTGTGCAATTTAACAAAGGTATCTTCCTGGTTCTTCACTAAGCAGATTTTCTTTTAGAATTCTGTCTTAATTCTTTCAGGTCGTTATAACATCATTATCTTTGGTGGCTCAGATAGTAAAGAATCTTCCTGCAATGCAGGAGACCTGGGTTTGATCCCTGGGTTGGGAAGATCCCCTGGAGGAGGGCATGGCAGCCCACCCCAGTATTCTTGCCTGGAGAATCCCATGGACAGAGGAACCTGGTGGGCTACAGTCCATAGGGTCGCACAGAGTCAGACATGACCGAGTGACTTAGCACAGCACAGAATATTAAAAAAACCATACAATATCCACTCAATCTCTGCTTCTAACACAAGTAGAC